CAATCTTCAGATCATCTCTTTGCCAGTCCAATTTACATAAATTTTTCACTTCATTCACTTTCTCACAGATTTCAGGCCACTTGTTCTTTAGCTTGACATAAAGAGCTCTTCTTGGACCTTTAGTTTTCTCACCAGTAAGGGCAGCCATATAGTGAGATACATGTACTTCATATGTGTGTCTCCTACACATTATCCACAAAATTGGTAATTTCAAAATATCTGTAAGAATTTGGACTGCTCCATTTACTCCGCCTGTATTGATTGCAGTTGTATCACAGCATATACCAATGATCTGCTCTTTACATCCGTAATATTCTAAAAGATTGTGCACTTGTTCTGCTTGGTCAACTCCCTTTGAAGAGGGACATTGAACAACACCTAAAAGATGGTCTTCCATGGTATCGTCATCCGGGGAACTCACTAAGACTGCAAGTCGCTCAATTTTTTGAATAATGTTAAGCCCAGTGGTAATTTGTTCCAACAGTTTGGTATCAAAATGAAGAATAAGCCGTCGGCATTTAAAATGATTAGATATTGAAATCCACTCCGAGTCTCCTTCAAGTTCTACATATTTGAACTTTTTTCTATGAAGTGTGCTTCGTGAAAGCGGTATATCATTAATTTCTATACCTCCAGCTTTAAATACTTCACTTAAAATTGCCAGATGAGGTCGTACACCAACATTGAACCTTGTTGCTGGAATAGCAGTACATTCAATGAGCTTTTCAACATTCACTGCTAGATTTATCCTATCTCCAGAATTGTACCTAGGTATCATTTTATAATATTTTTATACTTATTTATAATTATATACTTTTCAATAAAACAGCTTTAGCTTGTGAAAATTACAACTATGTTATTAAAATAATACTATACCTGCGTTTCAGACAGTTACCCAGGAAATCATCTTCCTCGCTGATTTCAGAGTCCTCGTTTGACTTTTCTTCCTCACTGCTGAATTGAATCTCTTCTGTCATGGAGTCATGTGACAACAAAACATCATTGATATCTTTAAGTTTTTCTGTCTCTCTAATTCTTTCTCTCTCAACTTATCTAGCTTGTTCTTTCTCCTGTTTGCATCCAGTACTCTTCTACTGTAGTCTTCATCGACTTTTGTTTCCATATATCCCTTCCTATGTAACTTCTGATCTTCATAAAAACTAAGAAATATTTAAATCTATTAAGCCATTTATAAATAAATTAATAATTGTTCTAGTTTTTCTTGAAAGATGACCAAACCATGTAAAGAGTTAAACGTAAATATTTTAAAGGAAATAATATGCTATTACTTAAGTTACTTTTAATTGGAAAAAAAATCTCACTACTAAAAAAAGTGTCATTTAATGAACTTACTTTATATCTTCCAGCTTGGCATCATCTGTTCTCAATCTATCAGCAAGAATATCTTTTTTAAAATTCTTAGTCGAGATGTCAAAAAGCTGATAGGATTCTGTGAGAAAATCTTTCTCTAACTTTGATTGCTTATCAAGACTGCTGTTCCAGTTTAGAGAAGACAATTTAATCAATTTCTTGTATTTTAAATTAAGTTTAATGATTTTGGTCTTTATATTGTACCCACAAATCACAAATTTCTTGCCAAACTCAGCATTATCCCAAATTTTTTTAATCCTAGATACCAAGCAAGAATTATCAGGATCTGTACAAACACCATTTTCACAAACAAGATCCTTGGATTTCGATTTTAATTTGCAACCAACATTAGTAGAAGTGGGTTTGTATTTAACTTGTGACTTGCGAAGGATAAATTGATAGTATTAGATTCCATTAGATGGAAGCTGTCTCTGAGGTAACTCCCTCAGTGGGTACTTCAATAGGTAAATATACCTCAACCTTTCTGTATTTTTCCGTTTTTTCTTATTCTGTCCTATCATCTTCTTTTTTTTAGCTGTTCTATCCATCTTTATATGAATTTCGAAATAATCAGTTTTTTAACTAAATTTTTGCTAAATGTTACACTTGCATCAAAAATCTATGAAGTCGTTATTCCCTCTCGTATAATATTTTATCTAAGTTTACCGTTACGGCTTTTATAACCGTTTACACGAGAATTTCTTCGTGCACAAATTAGAATTCCGTCGTGCACAAATAATTCCAATTAGAAATTTTTTCCTTCAAAAAAAATTTCTAAATGGAGTTATTTGTGAACCAATCCATGGGGAATTATACCAACAATTTCAGAGGGAAAAATATCAATCGCTAACAATGTTCATAGAGAATGATTCTATTCTTTAATAATATCCTATGGGAATTATTTGTGTACTAATTATTACATCGTATTAAAACATATTTAAATACTAGATAGGGCTGTTTTTTAGTAAGTACACATATGTGTACAAAACCGTAAAACTCAGAATTTACATCTATCACTTCTAGTCATTAAAAAGTTAAAAAAAAGATTTTGGTAGCTATTTAGGACCTATAGAATGGGGATCAGTTGAGAGCACATGGAAATTTTAAAAAAAGTGTGTTTTTGGGACACCCTAATGCTGGTGGTGGGAAACAATATCGTGTATTCCCAGCCAATCGATTTGGCATATTACGATAGATATTTTGCCGATGCCATATTTTCACTCAAATAATGTTTTTATAGTATTTAAAATTACATAGCTTCTTTAATTAAAGCTGTACATCTAGTGTCCGGAGTTACCCGCCGTTTGGGGCTACCCGAATTTCCCCTATACAACGTGCTTCCTTAAGAAGTATGACATTTTTTCCTATTTAAAATAATATTTAAAAAAAAGGGATTTCTAAAGTAAAATTTCAACATTTATTATTAGTTAAAGTTTCAAGATCTTGTGAAACTCTTTCACTGTTTAGACTTTTTTATAAGCTGTGGCGTAAACGGTAGCGCACTTGCCTTTAAAACAAAGGATCATACCCCACCTCAGAATGACATGATAATAATACTAAGTTATTCATTAATTTCTTTACTATAAAAAATGGTTAAAATAAATGTTGTACCTTAAACATAGAAAAAAGTTAACTGAATTTGTCTATTTTTAATTAAATCAAATATGATATTTTGCAACAACTTGAATCAACTCTTTTAAAAACGCTCATCAATTTATCGGGGGGGGGGGGGGGGGTAAGTTATAGTCAGTTTTTTGAAGAATATTCGGCTAGTCGGGTAATTGACACAATTTGATCAGGTGATTTTTAGTTTTGAGGTCCTTTTTAAAATAAAATTTATTTATGTAGGCAATCCAAAATTTTTTATTTTATTTCTAGAATCGCTTTTGATCGCAAATACTGCAAATTGCAAAGACATCATCTTTGAATGTTTGAAAGTAATGATTACGTAAAGTTTCTAAATGAGCGGGCTGTAAAATTTGTACCGTTGCAACTTTTGAACACTTAAATATTATGAAAAGAAATTAAAACCCTGTCGATGAAAATAAACTTTAATTTTAGAAAGTAAAATAATAAAATTTTATTAACTGATTGCCCTCATATTTATGGTAGGTGCGGCAAATATTTTATTTATGGTAGGTGCGGCAAATATTTTATTTATGGTAGGTGCGGCAAATATTTTAAGGTATTTTTGTTTCAGGGTTAAAATCACAGTAATTTTTTACATAACATTCTGATTCTACATGAGCAAAATGTATATCATAGTTGAAACATCAAGCTCCAACGAGCATGCATTCAAACCATGGGTTTAATTAATTTCAAGTAACGCACAGAAAAAAGTGGTACAACATCGACTCCAGGTAGCGATGCTATAAAACGTTTTACTGATGTAAAATTCTACCGGCGGTAATTAATTTACCAGTGGCCGTATTCTCATCTCTCCGTTAAGCTTAACGGAGCTTTTGTCAAAAAGTTCTTTTTAACTACATTAATAATAAAAATTCTTTAAAAAAATATTTTTTTTAGTAAAATTGTTTTATTTTAGTCTTAGTTTTATTTAAATAAATTCAAATAAAGTTTTTGTCATTTCTTTACTTAGAAATATTGTAATGAAATTTTTGACAAACGCTCCGTCAAGCTTAACGGAGAGATAAAAATACGGCTGCTGCGTAATTAAGCTGGGTGAATAAAAAAATGCAACTGCTTTTACTTAGTAATTGGACAGCTTTACGTAAATAGAAATTTTTGCAATTGCTCGAACTTTTGTTCACGACATTTACTCAGAGTAAAATTTACGTTTTACGTGAATACAAATTTAAGCGAGTTTGCTTAAATTTGCGAATATTTTTATTGAACAGTTATTCCAAAAAAGCAGTTGCTTTTTTTTGTTCGCCCGCCCTAATGAGTTTTGACAATTTTATAAAATATTTTCAAAAATTATCGGCGATAAACTTTATACTGTCGAAAAATATTTTAACATCGAAAAATGTTCTGAAGGAGCGACCTACGGAAATTTTTTGTTGAAGATTTAAAGATATGAATATTTAGTGATAGAAACCTGTGGTTCAGAATGTTTTTGAATCTTCAACTCAAAAACAACATTCTCATGACAGATTTTTGTGTTATGAGAATATTATTTATTCAGAATATAGAATTCTAAAAAATTTAGGGCATAGATATCTACAAAATGTGATGCGGAAAAGTCTTACAACACTGAAAAACATTTTATATCTCAAAAATTCCGAGAGTAGAATTTCCGTCGGTAGAATTTTCCGCCGGTAAAAAGTTTGATAACATCGTCCCCTGGACGTGTTTTAAATGTCTAAAAAAATATTAGGTAACTTACTAAAATCTATTACATCGTATACAACATATTACAACTTATTTGAACGTAACAACATATTGAAACGTATTACAACGTTATGATACGTTTAAGTACGTTTTCTAGACGTCTTAAATACATCTTGTGGCATGCTGGGCAAAGTTTTTAATAACACATATTTAAGTTCTAAATAACAAATCTATATTTGTATCGTAATATTCGTTTGTTGTTTTTATAGTTATTTTAAATCTATTCACTCACCTTATTTTAAAAATGTTTTTAATTTTAAAGAATGCGATTGTGCTTGTCAACTTTTTAAATGTTTGACATAAAAGAATAGATCCGCGTGAGTATTTAAATGCAGCAGATGTTTATTATATTCTTTGTTATTTTACTAAAAGTTTGTAGTTAAAGTAGATTAAAATGGAGGCCGAAGAAGATACAAGAGAAACGTCATCGGTAAAAGTTAAATTTAATTTAAATGCTTTATATCTTTTCAATCTTTTTTTAAGTTTGAGGTATTTAAACTTTTTTTTTAAAGTGTCTGAAAATGTTTGTTGTAATAAAAAATTTCTTCTTAAGGCAATAAGGAATCTAGATCCCTGCTTGATCAAGCAGGGATCTAGATTCAATTGAAACAAAAAAAAACAGACAAACTGGAGCTCTGAAAATTTAGACGTTTGTGTACTTATGTTAAAATTGTTTCCAGGGCAGATGACCATAGGGCTGGGGCACTAGGAGACATGCCAACTTTTCTTAGAAATTTTTTTTTGCATTTTTGATAAATTAAAGGTAACTTTGAAAATATTGTTTTCAAAAAAAAATTTGGTTTTATATTTGTTACATTTGGGTTTTTTATCATTCTGAATTGAATGATCTTTCTTAAAATGTTTTAAGAAAGTACATACGTTTATAAGATTTTTGATTTGTATATGGATAAAAAACAGTCATCCATCTAAAATAATGATTTTAGCAGAGTTTTACATTGTATAATTTAAAACTTTTGGAATTGAAGAGAAAACAGACAATGATCTGTCAGACAACAACAATTGAAGAATACAAATTGATGTTATCAGAGGCAATAAACAAATTACCAGCTTATTGCTGCATTGCAAAATGTCAAGCAAGATACCTAAGGCAACAAAAGGAAAAGTTGGCAAAAGACTGCTGTATTGCCTTGAGTGATTTTGCAGAAAACTTCACTTAATAATTTAATAAAACAGCATTAACAAAAAAAAAAAACAAAAAAAAAGCACTGTTAACTATGTTAAAAAAAAAACACTGTTACAAGTTTTTTAAGTATAGCTGTTAACTATACTTAAAAAATATGTAAATATTTTTTAAGTATAGTTAACAGCTATAATAAAAATTATAATTTTTTAACTTGTTTCTCTATGCAGCAGCTCTGTTCGCCGAGGTTTACATTTGGAGGTAATAGATTGGAAGAGATTAAAAAAAGAGAGACAAAAAAAGACTCGATTAGTAGAAAAAAATAGAGTAAACTTTGATTATAGTGACTCCACCTTAGGTGACCCTGGGTGAATGCAGTTTAAATAAATGTTAAATAATTGTATAATCTGGTATAATACTATACATTTGATTATTTGATGTTAGTATCAAAGAAAATAAAATTGCAACATTTTTAAAAGAATAATTTTAATTTTCAAAAATTCACTTTTATAGATTTGAGCAGTTTTTCAACATTTTTTACCAATAAATTATGTATTATAAAATATTGTAAATTTCCCACCAAGTGTTATTTATTATTAAAATATATATATATATTTTTAAATATATATATATTTTTTTAAATATATATATATTTTTTTAAATATATATATTTTTTTAAATATATATATATTTTTTTAAATATATATATATATATATATATATATATATATATATATATATATATATATATATATATATATATATATATATATATATATATATATATATATATATATATATATATATATATATATATATATAATATTAAAATAATTGCTATTATTTTATTAACTTCACATCAAAACTTACACAGTATAAAAATGACAAAATTCTTTACACTATGATATGGTAAAGATTTTTGTCAATTTTATACTGTGCAGCACAACCATAGAAATGCTTATATTTTGTCAATTTTATATACTCATATAACCAATTTTATATACCCATATAACCATACGCTTTATATAACCATAGAAATGCTTATATTTTGTCAATTTTATACTGTGCAGAAAACCATAGAAAACCATAAAAAATAAAAAAAACCCATAGAAATAGAAAAGAATTTTTGAAATATTAGGATGATTTTCTTTATAAAAACAGATATTATCTGTTTTTATAAAGATGATTTTGACACTGATGCAGAGTGAACATTTAAGGGATTATTTTTTCCAAGATTGAAAAAGAAAGACTGACAGAATTGCACACCATTTTGAAAAAACGTTTTCAACTAAGTAGAGCAATACCTGGGACTAAGAGCTATCACTAATTTAACCCAGAATCTATAGATACTGTTAGCTTTAAACAAACAAGTGAAGATTTTAATATAAAAGACATGTTTTCTTTTTTTGGTATTCAAAGTATTCAACCTAATCAGCAAGTTAACATCAATACATTGAAATTTGATAAATTCTGTGTAAATATAATGTATTTCATTGGATTGGTATGATAAATGAAATTGACAATTTTTTGCAAGATATTATGGTAACATTTATGCACTTGCATAAATGTTACCATAATATCTTGCAGACATCCTTTTGGTTGTCTGCCCTGGAAACAATTTTAGCACATGTTTATCAGGACTACACAAATGCTGAAATTTCAGAGCTCCAGTTTGTTTGGAAGATAGTGAAACATCTATTACAAGATTCCACTACAAAAAAGTGAGGCACTTGCCCCAGTCATTCCCCCCCCCCCATATCTTGGTGCCCTGAAAAAAATTTTAAAATGCACATTCATTGGCAGTACAAAAAAGCCAAAATTTTCAGAGCTCCAACTAGTCTTTGAAATCTATATACTTGCAAATCAAAATCTTTATATTTTTTAAAAGATCAATGAATAGAGAATGTGTAGTTTTTTTTGTTGATAATTTTTTTTCTTAAACATCTTCGCTTCCAACAAGGTTGCAAGCAACCACTAATTAGTGTTGGAAGTTACTTGTAGAGGAATTGATTGTAGAGCAAGATAACGATTGACAGACGACTTAAAAAATTGCAAATTATATGAATCAGGTAAGCAAGATGAAGGAAGCGAATTCCAAAGAACTGATGTTTGAGGAAAAAAAATTAGACAAGTAAGAGTTTTTGGAGCACTTGAGAACAGTAACAAAAAAAGGATGAGACTTAATTGAATGACGAGTAACACGAGAATGAATTTTAGTAGATGGCACAAGAGACGCTAGCTCTTTAGAGCAGTGCCCATTATAGTATTTGTAGAAAAGAGAAAGAGAAGCAACATTACAACAATGTGACAGGTTGAAGGTTGGCTGCAAGAGCAGGTCCAACTATGTTTACATATAATCAAGGCCATATTAAGGATATCGATTTTCTTTGTCATATTGGAATTTTAATACACAATAAAGCAAATTAGTGATACAGATGTCATATGTAAAAAAAAAAAATTTTTGGTGTGGATTAATGAAAGTATCTGTACCGCTGATTTAATGTTTTATTTTTTGATATTTTAGACCAATTTTATACTGAGTTTTGACTGTTAGTGCCAATAGCCTTATTCTAATCGATTTAATTTTTTTTTGTTAATGTTTTAGTCTGTTTTAGAACTGTTTTAGTCCTAATTAAAAAATATGAAATTGTGTATAACAAAATATATAATATTTTGTATATATAAGAGACCTATCTAGTTGAAACAAATCTTGAAAATTCACAATTAATTGATGTTATAATGAAATAGATTATATATATAAAAAAAGTATATATTTCAAAACGATTGTTTTTAAAATGAATTAAATCTTGGAATTGTTTAGAAACTTGATGAGAATACACTTTACAGTGTAAAGTGTAAAATGGTATTGTTATGACCCAGGTGAAGTAAGAAAATGCAGAGCAACAAAAACTGGCTGTGAAATAATTAATGTTAGAGTGACAACAGTAGCTGGCTCTTTGTACGCCCTTTTCCTTTTTTTTTCCAGGTATTATCCAAGCATTTTTTATTTGGAGTAGGTCCTGTAGCTTCCGTTAACTCTTGACGTATTCCACATTGTCTTAAATGAGATTTTACTGCTCTTTCGGATGAAGCGTTGATCACATCAAAAAATTTGACAAAGTTCTGGAACTAAAGATATCTTGAAAATTATTTCCAAAGGATCTGAGGAAGTTTCATTCAGATTCATTTTTTTATACTATGCCCCAGAATGATAAATATTAACCATGAGTCCTTAGAAACATATGCAGCCAAAGATAGGGGATAATCATGTTGTAAAACACTGGAAATATCTGGATAAACTGCTTTGATTCTTGAAACTTTATGAATGTTGTCTCTCTCTTCGTCTAGTATAAAATCTGTTATATCTTTCATATCCTTGTAATGGCCACTGTCAGAAGAGTCTAACAACTTTGGCTGCAGACTCAAAATTAGTTTAATGGGACATCTGCCAGTAGTTTCTCTAATCCTAAAAGTAATTTTAGCTTTGTTATGTAAATTATTAACATTTTTATTATTATGTTTGTTTGTTAATTTAATAAATTATTTAAAAAACCTGAAAGGCAGCAGAATCTTCAAATTTGCCTATCAGGAACCATGGAGCCCAGAGTAAAGAAATATAATCAGCCATATTATCAATCTCTTTGATAATGTTTTCACTAAGAATAATGACCTGTCTGATTCTTGGCAGTAGTAGCTTAAACTTCATTAAGTAAAGGGTCTTGCCCATAAAGCATGCATGTGAGATAAATCCAGTTCTGTGAATTCTGTACATGGAGGCATAATCTTTATTAAGATACATAGTTACAAGCTCGGCTATTTAACAATATTATCCAATGATTAATTTAAAATAAGACATTTATCCAATGTTTAATTAAAAATTAAGATTTTTGAAAACAGTAGTATAGATGTAACAATCAGTAATGTTTGCTTCTTTTTAACTTTAGTTTATTCAACTTCACTGTTTCTCAGTATATCACAGTTCTTTAGGTTTTTTCAGCTTTGCAATGGTAAGCTTGCTCCTCCACCCAGGTACCACTGAATTTTTGATGGTTGAACTTGACTAAATCCTCTACCTGATTTTGTCAACTTCATGCCAGTGCTCTTTCAATAATTTAAACTATGTATTCTGAAGACTAACCCTTTTTTTAGTTGCCACAGCATCATAAAAGTGCTTAATGTAAATTTCACCTACATGATGTCTGTAAGCCAACATAAGCAATTTTCCGCCATGAAATTTTGCCAACCTTGTGCATGCTCCTTTGAGATGACAAGTGTTCCAAGCAGTAGTGTCAAAGCATAGTTTATGAAGGAACTCATCAGTTCGAAAATATTCTAATAACTTCTGAACAGCTGAAAAATGTGCCTCTCCTGTTTCATGATCCTGGTCTAGCACACCAAGAAATTGAGTCTCATTTTTGCATCTTATAAGGACACGCAGATGGTCATTTGTCTTATCAATTACACCTGTAATATTTTTAATGATTTTTCCATCAAAATGTAAAATAATTGGTTTGCTAGTGTTTTTAACCATTTTCTTAAGTTAGATCTCAGAATAGCTCAGGGCCAGATTTACCTATAGGCTGACTAGGCCACGGCCTAGGGCCCCCAACATTTGGGGGCCCCAAAATTTAATAAACATAAAAAGTTGAAAACTAAAAATAATGTGTAGAAAAATCAAAAATGTTGTAAAATTTATTTTTAATTAAATTCTCAATATTCACACTGTTTTGTTTAAATAATAAAATTTTAAATAAAAAAATTAAATTTGTTTTTCCCCAAAATTAAATTATTTTAGGGGCCTCAAAAATGTTTTGGCCTAGGGCCCCCAAAAGGCTAAATCCGGCCCTGGAATAGCTGCATCCTCTTGTATGATTATATCAGAGCTGAGGGACAAAATAATCAATATTTCCACCAGAACTGGTAACAACTAGTGATCAACTGAAATTCGGGTTCCGGCCACAACTCTGACAAGATTTTTCGGCTCCTGTTCCGGTTCTGGTATTATTAAAGATTTCAGTTCTGGCCGAAATTTTGGTTTAAAATGCTACCAAAAATGGATGTCTTAAAGCTTTATTATACATTATCATTTTGATAAAATAATTTTAAAAAAGTTTTTTAAATTAAATGATAAGCTTGAGAATTAATGGAATAATGGATTTTGCTTTTTTTTGAAAACAAAATAATTTTCTTGTTTAAATTAAAATTCATATCTTGTAAATTTTTTTTATCATTATTATTTGAAAGATAATATTGTTGTTATGGGTATAACTTCCCAGCCAGCCAACACATAAGGGTACCATATGGGACCCATATGGGCTTTGATACGGGACCCATATGGGCAACCCGTTGCTAGCCCAGCGGGAGATGCAAATGGGCTCCACACGGGTCCCACACGGGCTTCCCGCTGGGAAACCCATATGGTTCCCGTATGCAGCCCATTTAATTAGCCCATATGGTGCCCGTACGGTTACAACTAGGGAAATCTGTATACAGCCCAAAAGAAGCCTGCAAGTATCTCAAGTCTCATAAGCGCGATTTAAGCGTTATTTAACTTCTTCCATAAAGTCAATTTCGTCATAAAGAACTAGAAACGCAGAAATAAAACCCAGATATAATGTAAGCTATTTTTTTTTAATAAAAAGTAATGTTAAACAAATTTGTCCATATTTTCTGACGGAGTAAGATAATCTGCATCTAGTTCAGTCGAGTTAACATTGACAGCGACTTTATCAGATCTACGACTGTTACTTCCACGATCACGTGAGTTAGCAAACCAGGTTGAAAGTTCAGTTTCGATTTCCTTTTGCGTGCAATTTTTTGTGCTAGGATTTAATTTAACAGCACCTATTTATTTAACAAAAGCATATTAAAACACACACACATATATAAATTTATATATATATATATATATATATATATATATATATATATATATATATATATATATATATATATATATATATATTATATATATATATATATATATATTTATATAAATAAAATTATTTATATATATATATAAGTATTTATATATATATAAATATTTATATATATATATATATAAATATTTATATATATGTATATAAATTTATATATATACAGTCAGCGAAATTCACAAAAGGTCTTTTATGAATTTACACGCTTGTAAATATCACGCGTGTGAATAACACCGTGCCAACCTTAGCTGACCTCAGGTCGGCAAAAAAAAAAAAAAAAAAAAAATTTCGCTTTCTGTTACGATAGGAGTAATGATTAATTGATTATAAAAGGATTGCTGTGTAATACCATAACTTCAGACTATAATATTTTTAAAAATGTAGCCATTAAATTTTGTGTAGTAAATTAAGTTATAGCAAAACTAAAACTCGTTCCACTGTATTTGTAATTTATAAACGGTTTTTTCGATTTTTGATTTTGTACTTTATGGCTGATAATTGAGTATATGTTTGATAATTGTCTATATTGGGTAGACTTATAAGCAAAAATTACAATACAAAAATTAATATATAAATCAATTTTATACTCACTACAAAGAACTAAATGAAGTGCATTTGTTTTAAACGATTGTTTTCCTTTTTGCCGGTTAAATTGAAGCTACGAGCAACAAGGCTATCTAGCAGCATGGGCATTGACCTCATAATAAAATTTCTCAAATTTTCTCCACCAATATCAGCAATATGTTTGGCCTAAAAAAAAGTTTGATGCAAGTTATGGTGAACAGATATATAAAAAAAAAATTAAAAAAAAAAATTGAAAAGTTGTTCACAACTGCATTGTTTACAACAATTACTTAATATAAATAAAATTTAGTAATTAAAGTAATTATTTTTACAACTATTTTCTTTATTCCGGGATTTTCCAGCTTCTGTGTTAAAATATCTATTTCTTCCATTGACTTAGCTGTTAATGGAATACCTTCTGGAAGATCTGGAGAGATATGATCATTTAAATCAAGTTTGCAGCGGATAGATTGAATTTGTGCTGTATGCATTGCTTGAGTCTTTTTTATATCTTCCTGATTACTAATTACAGTTGCTAATAAATTAGCAATCATCTGTAGATTTACAGACTCACCTAAATAAAAGAACTTTGCTGCATTAAACATAAAGACATTTAAAAACAAAATTTCAGATTTATAACACTGGTAAATAAATTGTAAGAACTACGTTATTTTTTCCAGTAAGAGTGCTCAACATATCGTGTTATAAATATGTGTAGCAATTATTATTATATTAAAAACTAAATAATTATTTAGGTTTATTTGATAACATGACTTCAAGTTTCACGCAACAGATATATTTATATATATATATATATATATATATATATATATATATATATATATATATATATATATATATATATATATATAAAACTTATTCATAATTATACATAATTTATATAACTAACACAACTTTGAATAAATATATATATATATATATTACATAGTAAAATTATTTTACTAAACGTTCTTATTTTACTAACTATTTTACTAAACATATTTTACTAAAATATTTATTTCAGTTAACATTATATTTTTATTATTATATTTCATTAGTCATTTATTTGAGTTAACATTATATTATATAATTGGCACAATACCTGTTAATAACTTATGATTAATTGTTTGAACAGGTGATGATTTGTTTTGAAAAGAGGCAGAATCTATCAATATACTTTTCGATTGAGAATATTTTGATGTTGAACTGTTACATCTACAAGAAATAATTTTGAGCTCAATACTAAATTAAACCAATGATATAACTTTAAACAAGTTAATAATTTATCAAAACACATATTATTAAGTATCAAATATATTATAACACTGGCGTATGTAATGGTAATACACCGAAACTAATAGATTTTATGTCCGGATACTTTTATTTTTAAAAATTAATTTCTGTCTATTAGCAAATATACAAGTGTTATAACAGTTTTTTTCTTTAATGAATATCCAGCATATCTGGCAAAAATAAATGGTTCATTAAATTTAGCCATTAATTAGATAATTGTATCAATACTTGTCTATTTCAAAGTCTAGTCTTGCAGCTGGTAAAACATTAGACTCGCAATTGCTCAACTCAATATCACTTCCATAACTGTGTAAGAAGTAGAGTATTAGCAGATTAATAAGCAGGTTTAATATATAAATAATTTCATAATGGTTAATTATAAATAAAGATGTTATTGTGTTATAAAGTGATAACAAATAGACTGTTACTTACAGATTCAGCAAATTTTCTTTTTTTGAATGAGTCTCTTTGTGAATAAATGGTAGAGTAGGTTTGTCTACTTGAGTAACACAAAAATCATCGGGTGTTCTTTTTTTGTGCCAAGTTTTCTTTTTACTTTATAAAAAAAAAAAGATTTGGATATATATCATTCTCATTATTAGGCTTTATACATAAAGCATATTAATAGATACAGTATCAATATAGTATACAGAGTATATAGTACAATATAGTATACAGAGTATTGGATATAGTAACACTAGATAAAAAATTAGTAAACAACTCTTTATAATAACCTTGGTATAATCTGATCATAATCTTCTCCTTCATTCTCAGAAGAACTAATCATTTTACACCTAAACAGTTTTATAAATACATAATAAAAATATTTCATATTTTTATTAATATTTATTAATAATTTCTGAAATTAAAGTTACCTTCTAACACGTTTCAATGCATTTTCTTCTGCTGTATCTAGGTTGGAGGTGTCCTCGGCTCTTTTCGCTTTTGACCGTGCTTCAGTAAGACTGTCTATAAATAAATTGAAAAACAATACATTAAATAACGTATTGTATTAAACTTGCAACACAGAGGCATTTTTTTAGCAATGAATTATTAATAAAATATAATTATAAAAGCATAACATTAATTTTACCTGCAATTCTTAGTATTCTAGCAGTAAATAAAGGCCAATGCACATCTGGATCCATTAGATTATTTTTAGCCTTTGCAATACTAGTTGGATTTAAATTTTTACCATTTGGCCAAAAGACTTTAACAGATACTTTATTTTTAATACTGGATGGAAGTGAATTGATGTCAACTCCACTTATCCAAGTTAGTGGCACATAATCTGTTGTATTAGTTTCATCGAATAAAACTATTGCATACATAATTATACTGTATCACAAAAACAAAATTAAAAAAATATACACCAGACTAGCCTCTTATGTTTGATCTGATATCATACAAGCCTTGCCGGGAAGTAAGAGGTATTGCTCTCACATCAACCTTTGAGCTTTGATTTATCAAATGATATTATAATATAATATACCATAAAAGTCATAATAATCATAAAATGTATTGTGTAATTATAATATATATCAAAGCTCAAAGAATGACGCAAGAGCTATAGCTCGCGCTTCCTACTAAGGCCTGTACATGTGAGTATATTATGTTTCTATTAAACTATTTATAGTAAATAATAATCGCAAAGTATCGATTAACATAATAATCGTAAAACTGAATAATTGCAAAACTAATAATGAAATAACAAAGTAATAACTTTATAAATAAGTCGAATACTATTTTTACTTATCAAAATATAACAATTTAGTAAAGTAATTGTATTGCACAAGTTATTTGATATACTAAAAAAAATGTATTTGTGGAATAACTACAAAGCCGTTTTTAAATGGTAGTTTAAAATATTTAATATTTAGTTCTTTAAAAAAAATGTTGTTGTATTAAATGACACATTTTCCACATAATATATGGAAAAACTTGTTGAATCAAGAGGATCCATAAAAAAAGATTGCTTACGCTGAAACTCTTGGCAGACAACACGAGCATTAACCTCTGTGCAAATTACATCAGTTAATATGTTTTTGACTAAAATGATTTTATTATTAACACCAAAGCAGTTATCAGCAGTAGCAAGAGAAACCAGAAATTGTGGTCCAAAATATTGCTTGTATTGAATGTAATGACGTAATGGCAATGGTAGTGGACCTAGCAAGTGTTTTTGTCGAAATTTAGACGGTATACTGCTGCCCAATTTTGATTGTTGTAAATGACCTTCCAAAATTCGTCGCACAATTTGTGAGCAAGGTGATTTAGGTCGACGAACCAACTTTTTTAGTCTTCCCAAATAGCTTTCGAAAGGAAAACAAGAAACATTATCTAACACGCCGAATTGCCTAGCATCATCTGGTAAGTGTATCAACGAATGAATATTGTAAACACACTGATCTTTTCCAAATAACAAGCAAAAATTATATACAAAATACTTTAATAAGTTTTCTACATAATTGAAGTAGTTGTAGTTACACAATGATGGTGTCATAAGTATGCGAATAGCTACAGAGAGACACAAAAAATTGGAATATACAGAATCAGAAAGAATACCTTTTAAAACAACAGGGCCAGTATATAACAAAAATTGTCTCAGTTCTGTAGCTTTCCATTGCTTAAACTCTAAAAGAGATCGAGGCTTTCAAGAAAACTCTCTAGGAATATAAGCTCGTAGAATAGCAAGTTTTTCAGATATAGCATTAATTGTTGATCTTGATAACTTATGCTCAGATCTACCATTGACTAACTGGTTTATATACCTGCGAAATGTTCCTAAAAATACTGAATGCATGCTATCAATTGGAAAACCACTAACTAATCCAATATTTAATTCCTCAATAGGTGACATATGTGAACCATCATGATGATTTTTATCTGCTTTGTTTTTAAAAGTGATGTCCGATCTCAGAGGTGCGGCTAAATTGGGCATAATGACTTTGCCATACCACTTACCTTTTTGAAAGCAGCGTTCACAAGAATGATATGCATTATGTGGTTTAATGCACTTTACAAATGCTCTGGCTGGTGCATCACAAATAAAAGCCTCTAACTTTATTAAATAGTGCTTCCCAGTTGCCACACAAACAAAACCTATTCGTTCTAATATTTTTATTTCAGCAACAAAATCTTTTAAATAATCCTGCAATGAGTTAGGCTTTGTTTTACCAAAATAAAGTGCAAGTGGAAAAGGATACCAATCAGCATCTCGAACAAAGCAAAGAATAGGCCACAAACTGGCAGTTGAGCTATTAAATAATGGCACTCCATCTATATTTATATGCAGATACAATTTACTAATTTCAAACCTGATAGGATACCTTTCCATTAAAATAGAAAGCCAATGTTTTAATCCAAAATAGAAATATTCTCCGCCTGCAATACTTTTTATAGTGATGCTTCTTTCAGTTTGCAACAAACTTTTTGCATCCTTTGGCAAATCAGGATGTGATTGTCTTAACAATGAAAGCAAATCTGAACATGCATTATGTGAAATGTTAAATTTTAAAACCCATGTTTGTAACTGACTGAAGGCAATCAGTATTGACATCGTACTCTACAGCTTCATCTTCATCGTGACTTACTAAGCTAGTTGTTTCATCTTGGTTTTCAAATTTACTGCCTGTATCATATAAGCATATTTCAGTTTGTGCTGGAATATCATCAGCGCTAATAAGCTCGTTATCACGAGGCATAACTTTATCATTATTTTGATAATTGTGTTCATTGTTATAAATATCATTATTACTATGACTGTTACAAATTTCTGAAAAATCATCAACATTGTCATCATTTTCATTAATACACATAGAATTGTTTTGAGAACTAGCATCAGAAAATATTCTATTAACAACAGCATTTATTTTCCTCCTTTTTGTAGAATATGAGTATAAATTATTAGCCATTCTGAAAATAAAGAAAAGCAGAACTGTAATAAACTAAAATAATTTAAATTAACAAACAGAATTTAAATTAACAGTAAATTAGTAATAGAATACAATGCTGTAATAAATATATAAACTATATATAAGACTAAAAATTACCATAAGCCTTCTATATATATAGTATATATATAGAAGGCTACAAATATCTCAAACCCTTGATAAATGGAACTTCCAGTAACTAATTTTGAATACTTGAACTAAAACCTTATTTCTATTATAATCATGATAAATTTAACATTCGCTAACTCAAACTAATTTCTTGGTCCCTTGGAGGTTCAAGTTATCAGAAGTTTGCTGTATATAGGTATAAATATGTAGAACTTTATCAATCATATAAGTTACCAAGAGCATTGAGCATTCCCAAGAGCAAGTTTAGCACTTTATATAACGTTCTTTATATAAAAAAGGTTATATAATATGTAATATATAATATAATATATATAATATATATACACACAAATGTATGTGTGTGTGTGTATTATATTGTCTTTAGAAGCAAATAAAATCTACTTGCTTGATCTGTTTCGAGAATTTTAAGTCTTGAGGCCTATCAGTTATCAGTTCATCTTTTTCAGATATTATTAATAGAAAAAATTAGCACTTGCCATATTTTAACTATTAATTAACTAAAGATTAACAATAGATAACAAATGATACTAAAATTATTATATTTTAATACTGTGGTATTACCATTTTTAGGTGCATAACTAAAATGTCGTTAACTAACTTTTGAAACTAAGTTTTATTAACTAACTTGTTAAATTTAAAAAGTTATATAAAACTAACATTGGTTTCAAACAAGTGTTTTAAACAGTGTAGTTTGAAATCTATATAAATCCTATACAAACATCCAACTATAAATAAGAAAATTATTATGAATAATTTCATGAATTATCTTAAAAAAATTTATTATATTTTGATAATTATTATAAAATTTTATAAAAACTATATAGAATTATATAAAAAATTATATATTTAACTAAAATGAATCATTTTAATTAAAATACTATAAAATAAGTTGCACGTTGCGAACCGATTAGCCATTTTTATTTTGAAAATAACTTTTTTCAATTCCGCCTCGATATCAAAAAATGTAATACCGTGTTTATTGCTTTCCCATATGGGTCCCAGACCGAGCCCATAAAAAAAGCCCTCGCGTATCCCATACCAGATACCCAGACGACTCCCATACGGTACCCATATGCGCTGGTTGCCTGGGTTATAATATATATATATATATATATATATATATATATATATATATATATATATATATATATATATATATATATATATTTAATATTACAATTAATTAAAAAAATACAACTTTTATCCTAATTTTATATAATCTATAAAGTGTTCGATTAAAGTTAATTAAAGCTTTGGAAACAACCTCTAGCGATATCAGCAGAGCTGTGTAGTCGGATTCGCTTAGTTGCGACATTTTTAGCAAAGTCGGAGTCGCTAAACAAAATCGCGACTCTGACTCCAATAATAAAACTTCTCGGTATTGCATGTGCGTGTATGAAACATTCAATTAACCTTATATTTATATTAAACCTCAAAGAATGTTTCATAAATTTGTCAAAAACTTTTTTTCAACTTGTCCCATAATATTTTTTAAAGAATTCAAAGAATTTTTCAAATATTTTACTTTGGAGTTGGAGTCGGAGTCAGAGTTGTACTCAAAAATTTTCAACAACTGGAGTTGAAGTCAGAGTTGTTACTTTTTTTTTTACAACTCCACACCCCTGGATATCAGTGTTCAGGAATTGAAAATTGCTATGAATAATGCAATGGAACAATCTTTTTCAGCAATTTAAAACACAGAACATTATTCAGTTACTACTCTATCAAATGGTATTTTTTCAGATCTCAAGGTGCTTTGCAAAAAGCTTAACACGTTGTCATGTCTCGAATGGACAATTTTGAATCTCTAGATGAATTGGTTCCTGCAACTCAAATTCTATTTGGCGACAATGAAAAAAACGCATGTTCAGATAATGTCAAAATTTATTGCGCAATCTCAAACTCAAATAGGACCAAATGCACATTCATCTTCCAAAATGATAAAAGAAGCGTTGAATGATTTTTTACAATAACTTCACAATGCCTTGAGTTTTGGAAAAACTATGAAAAAAAAATGCAAATTCCAAATTCAAGTTAACTAAGGTGGCAAAAAAGTACCTCACATCACCTCCAACATCAACAGATGTTGAAAGACTGTTTTCTACAGCTGGAGATATTCTTTCAAACGAAAGAAACGGAATCCATCTAGCAAATTTGGAAAAACTTCTATTTTATCGAGAAAATCTTCCAGTTGTTGGATTCTGTTATTAGTTATTTTTATTAAATTAATATTTTACTTAAATTAAAACTAACTTTAAAAAACAATATATATTATTGATTTTCGGTTCCGGTTTGGTTTCTGTTCCGGTCTGAGTTTATTTTCTGTTCCGGTAATGAATAATAAAAATCAATTTTTGGTTCGGTTCCAGCTCCGGCAGAATATTATTTCCGGTCGCTCACTAGTAACAACAGAACTAATAAGTGCATTTGCCTGATTGTTAGAAATAGCTGTTCTAATAGCAGTTCCAGCAGTTTTTATCACTATATTCTTGGGAGAATGAGTACCTGACTTTTATCAGTTAAGGGATCTCAAAATCTTCATCATCAAAACTTTGATCAGAACACTCAATATCACTATCATCAAAACTTACTTCAGGTAAAAACTTGCTGGTATTTACCTCTTCCTGTATAGAAATGGTTTCCTGAATCTTCTATGATTTGGCTCTCTCAGTGACCTGCTCAAAACAACCATCAAGTTCTCCTATCATCATTCTCTGGCCCTGATTCTGATCTTGGATAAAAGTTAAATTTTCCTTCTTGTCTTAAGGATGCATTCATATATTAATTTCCAAACTTCGGTGTAAAATGGCTAAATCATCACCAGCCTAAAACAAGTCTATAAAAAATTTTTTTATATAAAATGTTTGTGATAATTTGAGGTGGGTTACTTTAAAATATAATAAAGACCTGATTAAATTTTTTTATTACAATTTATATAAACAAATTTAAAGGCGCTTAATAAGGACAAATTTATTACTCAGAATAAAGTTTTTGATTTAAAACAATTTGTATTAATGCTCATTTTTTTAAAATATAAACTATTATAGGTTGTTTTGATAAAAGTAAATATTGATTAATATGTTTGATTTTTTTCCTTTTAAGTCACTTCTTTTTAACTTGTTATCTTCTAAAGAGTTCTTAAACTTGTTCCAAGTATCATCATAACCAATTTCCAACTTGCACTGCAACCTTTTTTATTTTCATGTACTTTTTTATATACTTCCAGCTTGAACTATCAGATTCTTACAGTATAGTTCCTGAAACCAGTTCTTCTCCATTGAGCCTAAGTTCTAGTGAGAATACAACCATAATTACACAAAACATTATCTTCAATGCATGATAATCTAAAGGGGGTATATGGGGTAAATATACATGATTTTTATTCTCACTGATTTTGATGTAATAAAAATAATAAAAATCATCCTGAATTTTCTGTCTAAGAGAGGACAGGCAATTAAATGTTCATTTCCATATTTGGAAATCTGTCTCTCAGAAACAGATAATCCTGATGAAGCTGGATCCTTTTCATATTCTCCAAGGTAGCCCCTCAAGGAACCCTTCTCAATGAAAAGATCTTTTAGAAACATTTTTTTTTTCATGAATTCCTTTACTTTTTTTCCTTTTCCAGATTCCTTGATTGGGAACATTCCTTGTCACCCTTGTTGTCATTTTAAGCTTTACATATAAAAAGAGTTTACAATTATTAATATTGCATCATTTTAAATAAGTATTTCATGCTTTAAGCCATAAATTGAGAAAATAAAATAGTTTTTCTAGCATAAGGCATTATGGGATTGGTATTCGGCCAAAATTGCTCTTAAACAATAGAATTTCTTATAATCGCAAGTTTGATTGATATGCCAACTAAACAAACAATAAGACATCACTTGAACAGAACGCAATGTAAGTTTGTGTAAATATTTGTGAAAATCAGAGTTTGATTAAATAAAAAAATATTTTAATTTCTCATTGTGTTTACTGTGAGAAAACTACAATCTACAACAACAAATATTCAAAGTTTTAGCAATATATTGTATGAAATAAAAGATTTAAAATAACAAAATTTAGTATTTTTAAATTTTTTGGCTTTTTAGAAATCCAAAAATAATTTATGTAACCTGACTAATTATTAATTACTATTTCATTATTTGTTAATGAAGTTTTTTTAGTTACTGTGGGAGGTTTTTTTCTCACTTTAGTTGATGCATTCTATTAGCGCCAGTTGTTTAAAAATGCCCTAAAACCTTAAAAAAAAGATTGGTGCACATAGTAGTCGTCTTCCAAACACACACAAAATTTTTTTTTTATACTTCTGAACGTTTAATTGGATTCATCACCCCAGAAGGAATTCTTACTCTACTAAGCACGCTCAACTGTATAAAAATCAGCAAAATCTGAGATTTTGCTGATTTTTATACAGTTGAGCGTTCAATGTCACATGACCCAGGTCATTTGACATTGAATTGCCCTATATATAATTAAGAAATGTATTTATATTTTAGACATATATATTTTCAATTTTCTTAAATACTTTAATGTTTCTTAATGGGGATCCTTTTAAGTAAGTTTTTTATAATATTTTTTTAATAGCAATAATTTTTGTTTCAAGTCAGATTAAATTAACATAATAATCAATTTTTTATATTTTTTATAAACTTTTGCCAATTATATTGATTTAGTTTAAATTGATTTAACAATTTTCAAATAAATCCTAGTTAATATTGTTATTAATTTAAATTATTTTTCGATAGGAGAAAAAAATATGTCATAGCGATAAATAGTTATAAAATTAAAACATAGTTCATATTGGTTAAATAAAAATAAGATACAGAACTTATAATATGGTGACCATAATCCTCGATTTCAGGTGGAGGAATGTCTATATATAAGGACTTTAAATTTGAATTAACTTTTAAATTTTTTAATAAAGCATAATTTTTTATTGAAATAAGCAGATATTTTTATTGAATATTAAAGTAAATAAATAGCAGTTAATAGTGGAAAAGATTGTCAGATAAGTGACCACCTCTTGCAGCTCTACAGGCCTCCAATCTTTTAGTAAAATTCTCCAACACATGATGATGTAACTGTGGTTCAATTTAAGTAATTTCCTCAATTATGTTTTCTTTCAGATGTTTAATGGTTGAAGAATTATTAGCGTAAACTTTGCTTTTCAAAAAACCTCGTAAAAAGAAATCTAATGGTGTTAAATCACATGATTTTGATGGCTAGTTAGCAGTTCCTCTTCAAGAAATTATTTGATCACCAAATTTATCTTTCAAAAAATTGGTTGTTTCTGTTGCTGTATGACATACTGTGCCGTCCTGTTGAAACCATGTATTCTGCACATCAAATCAAAAAACTGCTCTAATTTGTCAAACTAAAAGTTTCTAATCATTGTTCAATAACGGGCACCATTCACAGGAACAGTGTGTCCAGTTTTATTTTCAAATAAATATAACCATTCAATCCACCAGACTAAGAATGACACCTAACAGTTACTTTTTGTAATTAACAAATGCAAGACATAATCCATGATCAGTTGGCAATAATTGATGTGTTAACTGTATTTTGTAAGCTTTTAGGTGAAGATCCTAGGCAAAATATTGCATAAAGTGGTTTGTTTCATGTCTAATTGAAACAATGAAAAATTAATGTGTTTGGCTCTTCACTAACACTTTTACTGACAGCAGAAATATTTTCTTGGGAACAACCACTACGACTGTAAATTTTTTTTTTAACTTGAATCGAACCAGTTTCCTCAAATTTATTCACAATATTTCGAATGGTGGAGTTTGTTGTACAATTTCTTTCTTTATTTTGTATGAAATTTTCTTCCAACTTATGCATAATTTTTACTAAACTTAAAATAATTTTTAACAATGAAGAAGCGTTGTTCAATTATATATTTCTCCATATTTACGAACCACAATGTTTATACTTGACAGATGTCAATAATCAGAAACCATTTTAGTACAAAAAATATAAATGGCACAAGTTTAAAAAAGTTAATTCAAATTTGAACACTCTTTATAATCTTCTATAAAATGTAAACATTAAAAAAATATATGTTTAATAGGTAACACTTTATTTGTTTTATTTAAGAAAAAAAAATAAAAAAAAGACTAAAGTACTATTTAAAAAAGTATATAAAATAAGTACTATACTGTATAGCACTTATATGTATAATACAAATAAAATATAAGAAAGATATAAATTTAAAAATTATTTTGACATTTTTTAAAATAAGTTGTGTTAATAAAATCTAAAAACTGAAAATAAAACTTTATTTTTTGGACTGAAATTTATGATTTGCTTAATGCACATGAAAACAAAATACTTTGATATATTAAAAAAAGAAAGAAACTAGATAAAGAATATTCTTATTAATCAAAACTTTAATTATTAATAAAAAAAAATTGGTTTTCATGTCTTGCGAATTATGTACTTGCTATCTAATGTTTTGTCTTTTTTTTTTTTTTAATAATTAATATAGCCTGGTTTTTATTGCTATAATATGTGCTTTTTTACAATGATCATTTTAAACTCCTTTATAGTTACAATGTTAACTTTTACCGAACAGAGCATGGTTAGTTTCGTAAATATTGTATTTTATCATAATAGATTTTTTTGTCCATTATGTTTGGCTAAATTTGGCAAGTTTGCAAATTTGCCCAAATGTCTAAATTTGATTTTAGATTTTCACTTTGTTGTTAGCTTTATTTTAAGTAATGTTTGTTGAATGTCAATGTTTCTGAGCGTAAACAATTGTGTTTTAATTAAGCAATCGATCAGTTTAAAGGACGAACAAATCTTTTTTAATTTGAAACAGCAACAAATATTTTTTAGTCTAAACCATTTTTCATATTTCAAGTTTTTATAGTTTTTGACTTAACTAAACCAATAACTTTATAATCTTATTTGTAGCCAATTAATGCTTGGTGAGATATTGAGACTAGTTAAAATGTTTCTTGGTGAGATATTTATAACCAGTTAAACCCCTGCTTAATGAAATATTGTAACCAGTTAGAAAACTGCTCGGTGAAATATTTGTAACCAGTTGAATACCAGCTTGGTTTGGATTAAATTTATTATTTGAGCATCACAAGACAGTGAGCACATAAGTATTTAAATTATTTGGGCATTATTGAAATTAATTTTGTGCTGGATGCTTTAATTCTAAATTTAAAGAAAACCTTGGTGAGCTGCTGGTTCTTTTATATCTTTTTCAACAAGATATATATAAGATGCCAATTTATATCTATTTCAAGTTACTCTATTATCAATCTGCGTTTAATATTTATCTGTGCTTGATTACCAGCTGAAATATTAAAAGTAAATCAAAAATATCTTTCAAACGTTTTTTAAATTTTACATTGAGGATTTTAGAGTCTCACAACAAAGCGCTTACTAGAAAATTGAAGATCTGTGTAACCTTAAAAACCACCACTAACAAACTATATATAGGAAAGATTAATCTAATTGTGTAGTATAAATTTTTAAAAAACTCTGTACTAAGTGCATTCATTTAATATTTAAAAAAAATCTTTTTATAGAGGAAAAACAAATGCAAGTTTGTGAATTTAATTTTATCCTTACAAATGGAAATATAAAGATAAAATAACAAATGTTTTTTTGGAAATATCTTAGTAAATAATTTGTTTTGATGAGTTAACTCTAAACTTCATTCTAATGTTTATTTATAAAATAAGCATAACTTATTTTATATAAAATGTTTTATTTTAACTTTATTACTTTTCATATTTAGTTTCTCAGTGCAAAAGCAAATGTTCAATCAACTCCACTCATTGAAAATATTGACAATGATCCAAAAGGAAAAAAAATATTTTATGCAGTAATTGGATGTCTTGAGTTAGTTGGTATTTTATGTTTTATATTAATTTTGTGTTGGACTAAACATTATTTTGGTGGTTATGCTTGGGATGGAACTGGAAAAGAATTCAATCTTCATCCTGTTTTTATGGTGACGGGGATGGTTTTGTTGTATGGAAATGGTTAGTATTATTATTATTTGTTAACCACAAAGCATCAGAGTTTCCACAGTTTTAAAAATCAGTTTTTAAGATTTTAGTATTTCAAAGTTAATTAAGATAGCAATCTTCATATTTTAAACATTAGGCCAAAAAATTAGGTTGCATTGTCTTTTGCAATTTAAGTAAAAGAATTAATTTTTTTATTTTGTTCACTTTAGGTAATTATTATTGTTATTATTGTTATAAATTTACTTAAGATCACATAGATCCATAGAATATACAAAGAAACATATATAGCAAAAATAACAAAAATAAAATAAAACTGTTAAGAACAGAACAAACATCTCTAAACTAATATCTTACTGTGTGTTCAAACTAATGCTGTAATCTGAGAGTTTGAATCACATAGAATAGTATCAAATGAAGGTAAACCAAGTTTAGAAAACTTAATAGTAATGCTATTGCTATGGCTAAAACAAAGAAAAAATTTTATGCAGCTTTGAAATTCTTTAACAATGATTATAACGAGTGATACGGAAGTTATTGGATAAATCTGAATTTAATTATTTGAGCATGTGAATTTGTTTTTGTGGTTTTATGCGTAAGCATAAGTGTTCTATAAAATATAAACTTTATTTTTTGAAACACAATTATTTAAAATGAGGTTAAATTCAGCTGAACAAGAATCTTTTCGAAAGCAACTCAAAATGTTTTTTGTAAATAAATCTAATATTAAAAAAAAAAAAAAATCGTAAATCATTTTGAAAAGGAAGGGTTCGCCGAAATACAATATATGATAACTTAAAAAGACTTTTTTTTAGAAACTGTTCAATCTTTTTTTTTTTTTTTTTTAACATCTTTGTTTCCAACAAGGCTGCAAGAAACCACTATTAGAGTTAGAAGTTACTGGAAGAGAAAAAATGAAGTTTGTAGAGCAAGATAAGATTGACAGACGACTAAAAATTATACGACAGACAGATTAAAAGTTATACAAATCAGGAAAGCAAGATGAAGGAAGTGAATTCCAAAGAACTGATGTTCAAGGGAAAAAACTGGACAAATAAGAGTTTTATAGCACTTGGGAATAGTCACAGAAAAAGGATGAGGCTTAATTTAATGACAAGTAACACGAGAATTTTAGTAGATGGCACAAGAGATGCTAGCTCTTTAGAGCAGTGCCCATATAGTATTTGTAGAAAAGAGAAAGAGAAGCAACATTATGACAATATAATAATGGTTGGAGGTTGGCTGCAAGAGCAGGTCCAACTATGTTTGTAATGCATTTTTGCACCTTGTGTAAAAAAGAAAGGGCATACTTAGAAGATCCACCCCAGATATAGCAACAGTGTTCCATGCAAGGACGAATTTGCAATTTATAGAGATAAAGTATAGTATCAGGAGTAAGAAAGTGGCGAGTGCGATAAAGAGATGCTAGTTTTGCAATGGATTTGATATATGGTTTCCAAGAAAGATCAAAAGTAAGAGTTAATCCTAGAAGATGAAAGCATTACTGTTCATAACTATAGGAAGATCTAAATTATTGCGATAAAAATTGTCTGAAAAAAATCAGGTTTTATCTGAATTAAAGTTCACCAGCCCCTGGGAGCCCCATGCTGTAGCAGAAGTGAGATTCTTTTCAAGCTCAAATACCCCCTCCAAGGAATCAGAGAGTGTTGGCTTCTTATCATGACAAGAATAAATGGTAGTATCATCAGCGAAAAATGCCACCTTAGATGTGAGAATATCTGGAAGGTCATTAATGTAAATTAAAAAGAGTATAGGGCCAAGGATTGAACCTTGAGGAACCCCTGAGGTTACAGGATATAAAGAAGAATGCTGTTCATCAAGGACAAATTTTATACTATGATTGGAAAGAAAGGATTCAATAATCTTAAAGATGTTACCTGATACACCGTAAGAAGAAAGCTTATGGAGAAGACCAGCATGTCACACTTTATCAAAAGTTTTAGAAATGTCAAGAGCGATAGCCTTAACCTCTCCACCTCTATCTAATGCATAATAAAATCTATTGGTTATTACTATTAGCAAATCAGTTGTAAAATGAGAAGATCAAAATCCATATTGATGATCAGAAAGTAAGTTATTAGATTCAAGATGAGAGATTAAGTGTTTGTTAATTAAAGATTCAAAAACCTTGCTTATGATAGGAAGAAGAATAATGGGATGGTAGTTAGACGAGTTAGATTGCTCTCCAGAATTTTTGAAAATAGGGATAACAGATGCCGTTTTCCAGCAGGCTGGAAAACAAGACTCTGATAAGCACTTGTTAAATAGTTTTAAAAGTATAAATGACAGCTCCAGAGAACACTTCTCAAGACTATAACAGGTATGTTGTTTGGACCACAAGCTGTAGAAGAGTCTAAGCAGGAAATCACTTTTAGTACAGAAGCTGGAGTGATATGAATGTCAAGCAATAGATCAACCTTGTTCGATGACTATATCAGGTAGAATGCAGCTAGTGGTATCAATAGATAATATTGATGAAAAGTTCTTAGCAAACAAGGCTTTGTCTTTAGGTGAGTTGACAAAGTCTAAACCATACAAGAGAGGTGGAATAATAGATATACCCTTATTATTGATACTGTTAAAGATTCTTTTTTTTGATTGAAAGCAACCTGGTCATCCAACATCTTGGACTAGTAAAAAAAAAGCTGAATTAACAAGACTTGTCAACAATTGAAAAGGGCCAGTCAGACAAAAACAGGTTTTAAATTTGGTGTAAATCAATCAACAATTGGTCGTCAGTTAAAAAATATGAAAATTAAATATAGAAAATGTGAAAAGGCTCCAAAAAACACTATAGAACAACAATTTAAAATAAAGTAACAAAGGAGGAAACTAGTTACCAACTCTATAACACAAAACCGCTTCTGTCAATCCTTAAAACAGCGTCTGCATATAACAATATTTCCAAAAAATGCATAATATGTCTACATAAAAAATTTGAAATTACACATGCAGACCAAGATTGTTTATTAATTAAAAAATTAGAATTGATTTCTAAATGCAGGCACAAAAATAAGTTTTTCCTAAAAAACTATTAAAATAAGTGAGTTCAAATAATAGTTACACTAGCAGTAAGCAACCCGTAATATGTGTTATTAGTAATTAAATTATTAATAACAATAAAAATGCATTTTTAACTTAAATTCAAATAAAATTTATCTCTAAATAATATTTTAAGTTTGACTTCCTAACAGCAATGTTATTGCTTATAGTTAACGACGTAAAAAGAATGCATTAACATCAGTTAAGTTCTTTTTAAAATGTCACAACACAGCAGGTACCAGAAAATGAAAGTCAAGTAAAGCCTGGCAATATCTAAAAAAAGAAATGAAAAAAAAAAATTACATTAACACCGCTTGACACTGAATTCTGGTAAATTACAATTTCCAATTACAAAAGTAATTATAGTTAAACAATTTAAAGAATTATATCTTAAAAGTCGTGAAATATATCTTATTAAAAAAATGTTAAAAAAAGTAAAAAAGGCGTGCAATAAATAGCAGTAACTGTTTTTATTATGTTACCAATATGCAAAATTATTTTTACCTTAATTAAAAGTTAATTTCCAGCATTTCTTGATTAAGTTCTAGCTTCTCTCTAATTGTTGACTAATGATTAATATAGTAAATTTCACATCGTATTAAATTTACAAAATTAAAACCATGTTTCAACAGTAAGCAAAATAATCAAGTGATGACAAAGACAACTTAAAAAAAAAAAATATGTTCAAGATTACAAAAAAAAAATTAAAATCATTTAAATTTGAAACTTGTTAATTGTTATTATAAATAGTAAAATTCATACTTTGCTTTGTTCTAAATTCTTTTTTCTTTTTTCTTTGAGATAATATTAATATAGATACAGAGAAATATAAAATATACTGAAATATAGGCACATTTATGGATATAAACTTACCTGTCAACAAATTACAGTAAGTTTTCCATGTTAAATACATAAAATATATATCTAGCATAAAATAAATCCAATATAAAATAAAACAAAATATTAAACTTACTCAAATCAATAACATTTCCACTGTCTGAAAATTTTTATTATTATTAACCTTTCTATTTAAAAAAACAAACAATTGATTTAAAGTGACTAAAGAGCGCTTCAGCTCTTTAGTCACTTTAAATTGCACTAAAAATAAAACACATCTTGCTTTACTAAGTTGCCTAGTTCTTAAGAATTTGAAAACAAATAAGTAAAAAACCAGGAACAAACAAACATTTGTTTATTAAAACTACTCTATTTAAACAATTTAAATTAAACAGAGAACAACATCAGTTCTCCTTGCAAGCTGAAAAACTTTTCAGCTCAAATTTGCTTGCAGACCTTGCTTGTAAAACCACTTGAATAAAAAAAGCATTTAGAAATGCCTAGAAACTACTTAAAAATGGTATATGCAACTTTGAACTTTAAATGTTGACTGGACTAATTATTAGTAGATATTTTTAAAAAATTCATAAAAACTTACAATGGTTTGTTCTTCTATACCACATAAATACTTCATATGATAAATCTGAAGTTAACAAATGTAACAAATAATTTTTTTTTTCGAATTAGAATGCCTATAAATTGGAAAATAGGAGTATTATATATTACATTTGAGTATATTTGGTTGAGAAAACTCAAAGCGAAAAATGAAGACTACTTCAAACTATTAAGATTTGAAACATCTCCCTTAAAGTTGTCTTCAATTTTAAGCTTTAATTTTTACCGGTTCTTGATATTTTAACCAGATAAATAAGAATCTTAACAAAACAGTTTTTGTTATCCTAATTTTAAATTAAGTTTTTTGAATGGAATGACAAAGCTCAACATTAAAGATATTCACTTTAAGCTTATGTTCTGAGGACTCATGGAAAAAACTGCATATCCAGGTTCATTGCAATTTTGCTATCATAGGCTTTGCAAAAAATTCATCATAGGCTTTGCAAAAAATTCTGTTTTAAGATGATCTGCTCATCATGGGTCGATGTTTAGTTGAAGGT